CGGGCACTGGACCTGTTGAAGTTTATCAGGAATTTAAAAACAAAACAAAACAAAAAGCCTCTCTTCCTACAGAGATGTGCTCTTGTGTAGTGTTTGATTTGCCCAATGTTTCCTTCCAATTTTTGAAAAATTTTTAAAAGAGGATTTCAAAACCATTGGGAATGTAACTTTCTTCCATAGCCACACAGAATAAAATTTAGTTCTGTCAAGTGAACAGTAATTTTGATACCCACAAAATTACTTCCAAGTTTAAATAAGAAGAATGACAATGCTAGCAGTGTGGTCCCATATGCTATTCGGTCTCACCTCAGACTCATCGCAGTTGATCACCACCCTCTTAGTAATCCAACCTTCTTCCAGAGCTACAGTTTAAGCACTGTAATTCATACACCACATGTATCTGCAGGCGGTCCTTCACTGCATGAGCAAACAAAATTAAACAGTAGTGCAAATTATTTGTGATCATATGACAATAGAAAGCAAGCCTTTTGCAGATACTCACTGAGAGCTCCTGGTGATTCTCTTCTTTACGTAGTTCTAATCACATTGTGTGCTAGACATCACCCTCCTTTATTAAAAGTTATCCTGTCCTGTGGCTGGGGATTTAGCTCATTGGTACTGTTCATGCCGGGCAAGCACAAGATGCTGAGTTTGATCCCCAGTACCCCACTTCCAAAAAAAAGTTAACTTTTCCCAACAGTTTGGCAGCCATACTTGTAAGCAAATCTCAGGTTAATCTTCACATTATCATTCTACTCCAACTGCAGTAATCCTCCATGTTTGGAAAGACTGTCAGTCAATGTTTCCTCACTTGAATGCACAGGGGCTGACCCTAGAACCTCTCCCCAGCCATCCTGATCTCATCCATGTCCATGCTGCCTTTGAGTTCCCCTGAGTGGGATTTGAAACAGTTGGCCCTAATCAACAATCTTCACAGCCCACACTCACCAGTATTTCTGAGTATTGGATGAAATCCAAGCAATGAACATAGAGAGGAGAGCCTATTTATCAAATGCAGTTGCAGACACAGATTTGCACTGAAGCTCTTTGGCCTGGTTGTGCTCAGCACATGGAAGAACATCCAATGCCCATATCCTTTGATTTAGAATGTTTCTGGAGGAGAAGGAAGGTGGCACGTACCCCTGGGATATTCGGTCTCCTGCCAGAAGATCAGGACAGTGTCTCCCTCTTGCCTCAGCTCTTTTGTGCCACCAAGATGGGTGGCATTCCAGTCACAAGCAAACTGCAAAATACCTTTTTAAAAAACTAAAACCTTCAAAGACCTGCTGTGTTAGTGTTGGACTCTAAAGAGGAGACTGTGCTTTTTCATTTACATAGGAAATTGAAATACAGGATACAGAATCTTGAGTTTCATCTTCTGAAAAGATCATAGAGTATGGTACAAGGTCAGACTGGCATGAAATCAATTGTAATCTGCCAGCAAGCCATTCTAACCTCTTTAAGAGTTGCCTTTTATATTTTCCCCTTTATAGAGAGTGTAAAGTACATTTAAAGAAAGTCTCATCAAATCAGAATGTCTTTTAATATTATTTTTTTAATTGGTTGCTGCTGTAATGTGACCTAAAGCCTCCTGGTATTTAACCCTCTGTGCAACTTTGACTATTGAACAAATTTTCTCTGCTGTGGCAGTCTTGCTAAGTGTCTTTTATAGAGTTTTTTTAAATTACAGTGTATTATGAAAACCTCAGAACCCTCAACCTAATTGATTGGCTGTTGGTGATGCCATCTCTATAACTATAATGTTCCTTAAGTGCACAGACCTAACTATTTTTCTTATTTTTATATAGCAGTTCCATTTTATAATGACATTAAGCCATTCTGAGTGATACATTTCTGGACAGCTATTGCATTTGGGTTGAAAGTGTCATCTGGCTTTTAGCCTTGTGCCTTACAACAACAACCAAGGCATAAAATGATCCCCAGAAAATGTACTAGGCTTTACCTCATTACTTAAAAATCAATCTTGGAGTCTGGTTCTATTTCAGAAAAGATTTGGTAGGTTATAACATTTTGATTTATGGACATAATTAAAATATAAGTGATGAGCTCTGGGCTATTGAATCAGCTATCTGGGTTGTTCAGTATTTTAACTTATGTATTGTAGAAAGGATCTTCTTCCTAGCAGAATCTAACATACCTGAGTTCTAGAGGTATTATGGAATCCCAGGGTTTCTATTCCACCTGTTGATAATACTAAAGGGCCTCTTTCAACGCAAAGGAAAGGGAACAGGATTTGTTTATAAGTTTCCATCACCCAGGGACAGATCTTGGCACATAGACCTTACCTTTGAGTCAGAGGGTACAAAGGTAACTTAGCTGCCCATGGCTACATGATATGCCCATAAATACTGTGGATGTCAATAGAGGGAACATCTTTCCATATAATAGTACAAGCAAGATTCATGTTTAGTTTTTCAGCTATTAAAATACAGAAGCCTAAAAAGTAAATTGGGAAGTTCAGTTATCAAAACTGATGGTTAAAAAAAAAAAACCTAATAGTGTATTTTCTGTGGCTTAGCATATCATTGTTTTTATATAAATTCCAGGTATAGCAAATCCTTAGCTTGTTCTTCCTGATTTATGTGTGTTATTGACAACTGGTAAACAGTACATTAGGAACATAAAAAAGCATTTAACTAAAGCAAACTCAGTGGTACTGAAGAGGCAGGGTGGATTAGATTTTTCAACACTCTCTTTATTATTAATGGAAGTTGAACATGTAAAACCCTTAATGCACTGTACTGAAAATATACCCTTTCTGTTTGCTTGTAAATTGCAGGAAAGGAAAAAATAAAACTGATGGAAATTTTCCACATAGGCCAGCAAGCATTTCGCTTCTCCTGAATTAATGGGCCTAAGTCAGCAGTGCATAAGAATTGTAGCCCTTTTGTAGATCACAGATTAACCTATAAGCAAATGTTACATTTTAGCCCAAATTTTGAGCTCTAAATTTAGCCTTACGGAGAATGTTTATAGGTAAAAATGACAGAGGTCCCCTAACCAGTGACTCTATAGTGCTGTGTTTTATTTCTAAGTGTGAACTCTTAGGTGACAGGCCTTTTTGTTATCTACGTGTTCAGTGCATAACCTTCCCCCATTAATTTTTGTGTATCTTTTAAAAATAGGTTTCCCCAACTAACTGATTGGGGGAAGGGCTTACACATCCAAAAGTAGACACACGTCAGTCACTCTCCGGTTATATTTAGCCAGAGATGTCGTCCACAGTTCTAAAAAGACATAACCAGGAGCTCTTCATTTAGCCCTGCATCCAGTACTAACTAGTTCAAGGTTATCATGTTTATATTTTATGAGTATTTAATTACTACCTTCCCAACCCAGTTATTGGTATTTGAAAACTTCCTTGCCATTTTGTTCCTAAACATTTTCTTTGCCAACAAATGCAAAAACAGACGTGTGTCATCTGTGTTACAAGGGTCAGCTTGAGTTTTTGGACTTGTCAACTTGATGTTCTCTGGCAAGAGAAAGTACTACCGATTCACAGTGAGCAACGTACACTACAGGGTATCTAAGGGGAGCTCTCTTAAAAGGTCTTGAATGCCTTACACTTTTCATAAACATGAGAAAAAGATGTGTGCTAGGAACAAAACTATAAAAATGCATCTGGAAGCAACCATCCCTAGGGAGGACTCCCTTGTGCAGCTTACAAAACTGTGAACAGGGTGAGATTGGCGGATCCCAGCCATATCTCTGTCTTTCTCCTTATTCCATAGGATGAATGTTAATGAGTTAAGCAGGGCTTATAAAAGGCCGCGGGCCTGTTGGTTAGGTGGTGTGATTGGGAAAGTAAAACTGTGGTAATTGTTTTGACCTTTCAGCCAACTGATGTCTTGCCCTATCACACTTATTATTCTTGGGTACATTTCCAAAAATATACATTTACAAGCTACAGAATTAAATGAGAAAACTGATTTAGGGATTAGTGGCTTGTTGGTTCAGCGTAGGGAAAAAAAAAAAAAAAACTAATTGCCTTCACGTTTTGTTTGTACATGTATTTGTATGCCTATCCGTGTTGATGCTAACTTCTCCAGCTTCTCTCCCTGTTCCCCACACCTCCCGTCACTTCTCATTTATACCACATCCCCACACACTTTATGGGCCCATTTTTAAGTAGCTAGTGGAAATAAGAATGTTAACTTCACTTTCCTAAGTTATTTATTACATTAAGAATCTATATATACTTGGCTTTAATTACAGCTTGCCTTTGGAAAATGTAGTTTTGCATCAGATATCTAACCCAATATACCTTCCATGGGGGTGTCTCCGGTTAGGTTATCTGGATGACCTTGAGCTCCACTGTGGGTATGAGTTCCCATCCCTAAAACTGGACTTAGTCTACTACCAAAGATGGTTGTAAAAATAGGCTCTGAATACATGTCGGTTTCCCTTCCTCTTTTCTGTTTATGCTGAGATATCCCAGCTTCACTGGGAGCCACCCAAACCTCCCAGTTCTTTTCTTCCTAAAGCTGTCTGAGTAGAGTTCAGAGCTTCTGCCTTTTCCATTTGAAAACAAAAGGATAGAAGAGGCAAACTCATTAATATTCAGTGTCACAACATATTGTCATATAGTAATATATGATATATGATAAAATGTATCACTTCTGAGCACCACAAATATCTGTGGCTTCACCTCAGCATGAAGGCAAATGAGTTTCCTTTAGCTTGAGTGAGTTTGGAGATAAACTTCAATGTAACAAAATGTATTTCACAGGAAATGTTTGATGTGGCGCAGTTGGTGTATGAATCTCTTATCTATTCGCGGTTCACTCCTTAGAGTTATTAGTCAATTTAATTTGAGCAAATGCCAGGATTACTAACTAATTAGAAGGATGTTACTGAAGGCATGAGGATGGGGAGAGAGTAAGTGCTGGTAGTGTGGGGCTTGTGGCAGCGTGCAAGTGTAATTTCTTGCCTGATGATATCATTTACTAAACATTATACTTTGTGTTGTTGTCACACAGATAAGCCTCAAGTGCATATTCAGATGACTTATCCTCTACAAGGTCTAACCCGTGAAGGGGACGCGCTTGAGTTAACATGTGAAGCCATCGGGAAGCCCCAGTAAGTCCTGAAGGCCAAAGTTGGCAGAGGGTCATAAGCCGTAAATGTCACAACACAAGGAGGTGCATTCATATCTCATTGTCACCTGCTTCTGCTATAAAAGATAAAAGATTTTTTGGAAAATAAAGAATATTCATTTGGAAGTGGGGAGAAATAACTATGATTCTGAATGGTCAGGAATGGGAAGAGAAATGCCAGCTAAGATTGAGATCTTGGCTAATTTGATTTTATCATCAACATGAATGTCAGGATGGTTTTCACTCACACAAATAGTAAATTTTCAGTGTGCCCACAATCTAATGATATATCTGCTACTCCTATATGAATGTCTAAGTTGTTAGAAAGCTGGCTTTCAAACTCACAGTAAGCTGTTATAGTTAGGAATAGTTCTAGGCAAAAAGATTTGTCCTCCTTTTAATTTTGTATCTCTGTCCCTCAAAAGTGTCACATGTTACTCTGAGAAATGTTTCTTTAGTAAGTACAGACTCAGGAACCTTCCTTAAGGAGGATGCATATACCACTGCACAAGAGAAAAAGAAGTAAGATTCATTTTATTGGAAATTATTGAAAAGTACTTACTCCTCTGCAAAATGATCTAAAGTGAATTAGGGGAACTATGTATATCACCACTAAATGTGGTTTTTAAAAAGCCACATTAAATATTTTTCCATTTGTTCAGAATCTTTTGTCTCTTAACTAAGTATGGTTTTATTTTGTTTTTTGACTATTAGAAAAAATTAGGGCTGGTGATTTAGCTCAGCGGTTTGGTGGCCTGCCTTGCAAGCGCAAGGACCCAAGTTCAATGCCCGGTACCAAAAAAAAAGAAAAATCTATCCCTGGTATCCAAAAAACAGGTTAATGTTAGGATTAAGGGTGCTCAAACTTGTAGTGATACCCAACAAAAAAAAACAGCATTGAGGCTCCCTCTGCTGTCCCTGTGGCATGATTTTTTTTTAAACTCAAGAGTTTTACTTTACTTGCACCATTACAGTTTCCATATAAAATGCTGAGAGTAAATTAACAAAACTTCCCAAAAACCCTTTGGAAAGCATTCTCCCCATGACAGCTAAGAGATGACCTATGCCCTGAGCACAGCATGCAGAAGGGAAAGTTGGCAGTGGTCAGGTTCTTTCTTTACATCTCAGCCCTCCTTGTTTTGTGCTTAAGCCCTCTATAGGCTACAATGTCCTTCCCTCTGTGTATCCATAGCAGCTTGCCTTGCCTCCAGTGAAAGGGGGAAAATTCTGAGAGACCTCTTGGCACTTGCAATACCTATATTCAACCACATTAACCACATTTACAGTATATGGCTTGCTAACCTATATTTTACCTGTATTTTTTCCCCTGAAGAAGGTACTGTGTTCAATTGAATGTGCCACAGGGACAGTAAATTACATGTTTCCTTCAGGGCATTTATGCCAGAGAGGGTATTTGTTTGTGCCTCTCAAACAGGAATGGGTATATGGTTGTATGAGCAAGCACGCATTACTCAGCTGCTATCCCTTCTAGCACATTACCTATTTATTTTCTCAAGAAATTGCATACAATAAAAATGGTAATTTAGCTTGCCATTAAATGTTGTGAATATTCTCAGCACTTACCCCACTGATTGTTTCAGCTGTCAAGCAGCAGGACATTAGGTCTGATTGCCAGGCAAACCCATTTGCCATCGCCTACAAGGAGGACATATGCAGTACTAATTTTTAAATAATTTACTGGGTTGTGATGACAAAACCATGTGTAATTAAAGAAAAATTGTAACTTCACATCCTATTTGAAAATTGGAATGCTACTTAACAGGGCCTGCTTGAGTATCCGTTCATCATTAAGCATGGGTCTCTTGTCGGGTCACTGCTCCTAGGGTTAGTGGTGGTTAGGAGCTGAAAGGAACCTCTGTACTCGAATCCCTCTGTCCTTATTTTACAGTGAAAGTTTTGGGTTCAGGGTATAGCTCTGTGGTACAGCACTTGCCTAATACGCACAAAGTTCTTGGTTCTATCTCCCACGTGGCAGGGGATAAAAGGTTTCAGGCACAGTCTTAGATTTTATAGAAGGTTGGGGTAGATGCCTTGGAGAGCAGAAGCTTTCAAATTATAGGAGTTTTAAAGATACACCTGATATGAGTGCATTTTGGACTCTGGAGAGTCTTGGGAAATTTGCTTTTTTTCTAATAGATACAGTATCATACTTTAAATCACTAAAGTAAACTTGTCTCTGATGAGCAGGTGTTCTTGTAGGACCTAAAGGGTCCATGTAGAAATATGCCTTGCAGTAATTAACCCGAGAGCCCTGCAGGACTGCAAGTGCACTCAAGGGAAGAAGTATAGCAATATGGAGGCCTAAGACAGCCAGGAAAAAGAGGCAGTTGCTGGCCAAGGGGCAGATAAACAGGTGGACCAGGGTGTCAGAGTGCATTGTGGGTGGGGAGAGGCAGGTTATGGGGCGTGGCAGAGGAAGTGACTGCATCTTTCCTACATTATAGGTGGTTTCACAAAAAGCAGAGGCCAAAAGAAAGCGTTATTCAGTCTTGATGTGCTAATAACTGTTAGACTAGTGCATGCATCACTAGCCAAGAACTTGATTTTTATTTTTCTAATTAATGACATGAGTAACAATGGATAAGTTCTGTCCTGCCTAAATTTCTGTAAAGCTACAGAGGAGGGCATAAATGCAGGGCCCATTGGTTTATTTGCTGACTTGTTGAGGATAAATTGGAAATAACAAGACCACTGCTTGTGGTCACTTGAGGTTTTTTAACTCCTTTGTTTTGCTTTGCTTTGCTTTGCTTTGTTTTTTAATTATATTCCAGACATATTTTTGAGACTTCATGCTTGTAATTCTGTGCATTTAAAATATCCCCAGTAGGTCCTCTTTAATTGTGTCGCCCTGCATGTGCTTCATTGACTGTGTGGGTGAGAAGTTTGGTGCAGATATCCTAATGAGAAATAATAATGTGGCTGGTTGTCCTCCCCTTTCCTTTGCAGGCCTGTGATGGTAACTTGGGTGAGAGTGGATGATGAAATGCCTCAACACGCTGTACTGTCTGGGCCCAACCTGTTCATCAATAACCTAAACAAAACAGATAATGGTACATACCGCTGTGAGGCTTCAAACACAGTGGGGAAAGCTCATTCGGATTATATGCTGTATGTATACGGTACGTGAGCAGATAAAACACTCCCCTACCTGACTTATTCACGGGTTGCTGCTACTTGGGATTTGCTCCCAAAGCTTTTGGTTAAGTTGAAAATCAAAAGCCAGTTGGTTTCCTTCAAGAACTTAAAGAAGCCTGGCCCGAGGTGGACCCCAGTGTCTCCACCCAGGTCGCCAGTGACTGTTCTTCTCCCTCTAATCGTGGGGATTTCCCACTGCATCAGTCTCTGGTCATGCTGAGTAGGAAGGCTGTGTCCTCAGGCACAAGCCATGGAGATTATATTAGAAGTAATGACTGCAAAATTCAACCTTACCAATTAGTGGCTTTCAGCTCAGAAAGTTTATTCCCAGTGGTATTTTCCTGTGATGCCTGGGCTAGCCTTTCTCCTGCTTTGATGAGCAGAACTATCCTATTTTCAGCATGAAGCTATTAAATTGCAGAAGATGTTGCAAGCCAGTAAATACATACTCAGAGCAAATGAAAGTCCGTTGGTAGCTGTGTAGACCACCTAGAGCTTCTGCTTTGGATGCAAATACCTTCTTTTAAATTGTCTTGTTTTCATAATGAGTATTTTTTTTACAGGATCATTAAAATGTATCATCATGTATTTAATTCTGTAATCAGTATTTACTGAGCATCTACTATGTGGCGGGCATTTCTCCTTAATAGCTTATTGTTGACTTTGTATATAGTCAATAGTTTCTGTTTAGTTGAGGAGTATACGCCCTCTGTATTGAGTCTCTTTCATTCAGTTGAAGTCTATTAGTTTTACACTAAGGAAAATACTCATGAACTGACTTGACATAGAATGAATAAGCAGAAGTATCAAAATTTCAGTGCTGTAAATAGCATGAATGTGGGAGTAAAGGGCATTTCTTTCTTCAGGTTGGCTGACTAAATAATTGAAATATAAGTATATGTGAATGTATCATAGGCACACATAAATTATGCACCTTGATGCATTAAAACCTGGACACTTCCTTAGGAAGAAAAATGGGAGTGGCAACTTTCTCAATCAAATAAAAGCATGCTTTATGCCGTCTACATGGATATTAATATACTTTTAATCTGTATTTGAAGGTTTTTCCCCTAGTATAATGCAAAATGAAAAGGTCATGTATTTGTAGACTTGTGGAGCATGTATTTGCACACTGCCCTCTATGATCAGTGGTCCACACACAGTAACATTCGTTCTACCCAGAGGTTAGGGGATTCCACAGGAAGGGCACAGCTGCTTGGTGTAGGTAAGAAGGACACGCAGCAGGCGGAGCCACCTCTCTCTCTCAGATCATTCAGCAGGGGTGGAAGATAAATTTCTCTCTTTGCTTTTGGGTGTGACCGCCGCCTTCCCCCAAGGGTCTGGGCCCCATGCAGTCTCTACATTGCTGTGCCCAGCTTGATAGACTCTACGCCCAGCTCTTTTTATAAACTACAGATTTTAAAGAGCAGTGACAAATTTCCACCAGTCCTTTATATGCTCTGTGATTCAGAAGTGTAAGCTGGAGAAACCATTTTGACTTATTGTACCTACTCATCCTACATCTCAAGACAGGAAACATTTTGAGGGTTTGGTGGACAGACATAACCTCTGTTCAGTGCTCACTTCATTCAGTGCCCTATCATGACAATCCTACCTACATGACCTCATCTGATCTCACCGTGAGTTAAGCATTACCATCTCATTTTCCCAATGACAAAAGAAAGTCTAGAAACATCGTACAAGGTCGCCAAATATGGTTTAGAGCCATAATACAGTACTGGGACTCCAACATCCACAGCAAAGTTTAATAATAATAAATAATAAATTCTCTTATTCTCCCTACCTTCCAGTAGAACACCCCCCTTTTTTTAAAATTAACCTCTGGGTCACAGTATATTATTTGAAGGCCAAAAAATACAAAACTCACCTGTATTGCAAACACATGAACATACATGTGTCACCCTGACACGAGATGGATCATTTGTCTGTGTCTAGGGATTTGGTAGATCTGCGATACACTACCATCTCTCTCAGTCTGTGCTAGTATCACAGGCAAGAATGGTAAGTGAGAATACCAAACTTGTAATGTTGTTGTTGTATTAATAAAATATACTAGCAGTTTGAGAAGATAGTGGCCAGGCTTTTTTTACCCCACAGCTGACTTACTGTAATACTACAGCAATTTTGTAAGTGACTTATGAACTAAAAGTAGATGTACTTCTAGAATGTCTAATTCTTGGAAAGTAACTTACATACTCTGAAAGATCAATTTACTGCCTGAGCCCCGATGATCTTGTTTACTGATCTAAGCATGGAGTTGTTTTACCTAGTATTGGCATTTAATTCGTTCCCGTATCTTGAGCTAGATATGAAGGACAACATTTGCCCCAGTAGTGATGAAGATAATTAAAAGTATGTGATTTTCACATAATAAGAAGAATTGGTGACCCATCTCTGAAATCTGTGCCCTCGATAGTTTTATCCACCTCTGGGTTCATGTTCCTATTTTCAGCTCACATTCAGATCCACTTTCATTATAGTGCAGGTAGCACATATATTGTGCCAATACTTCTAGAAATAGCTCTATGGTATATCCAGAGAAGTCTATGAAATATACATGTTATTTTTAGTGATAATATTGTAATTGAAGCAAAACAGAAAAGCCACATTAACTGGCCTAATGGCAGGCAAGAGACACCCCTCTGGACATAGTTCATTTGTTCAGGGGAGGGAGCAAGATGTCAATGCACTTGGTTCATCTATGCACCAGCATCTACAGCAGGTGTAGCCTCATCCAAATGAGCTGCCAGGCCGCAAAATGCTTCTCTGCCTGTGTTCTCCATAAAGGATACCAAGGAGCAAGACTGGACACAACCCCTGAATCACAGTATTGTGTACTCTGTTCTTTTTTTAAAGGTGGTTTTAAATTACTAATTTAATCACTCCTACTTCTTGGAGGAGAATGAATTGTGGGGTGTTTTTTTGTTGTTGTTTTATTTTTTCATGCAATCCTCCTGGGACTCCTGTGAAGCTGCATTAAACAATAGTGCAACTTGCCTGTGTCCTCAACTTCAAGGATCAAAATACCCCATAAATTAGAACTGTTTGCTGTTGATTCTTGCTGATCATATATTCATGTGGGAGAAGCCTTTTTGAGGAAAATTAAAACTTTGGATTATTGATCAGTAGTAGGAATCATTTTATGCAGACCTTGCAACCAGGCACCAAACAGTGGCTTCATAAAGTTGAAGTTGTGCAAAACCCAGTAAAGGTACAATATATAATTAAAGTTTTGATGTATTAATTAGACAATCTGAGAGCTCACTTGAAGATAAAAGGACACCAGATGTGTCAGAGAGAAAAAGTTGACATGCTTTAGATAAAATTTAAAATCAAAAGCCTTCAAATCGTCTTATGCTCTATTATAGCAGAATGATTGCTTAGTTCAAAGTCTTGCTGACAATTTAACACATTCAGTTTGATCATTTGGGCTTAGAATTTTTTTCTCTTTCATATTTGCCCTTCCCTCAGCCCAAAATAATTTTTGAGGTGATAGAAGAATATACAGTCTATCAAATATCAGCAGAGGGTTCCCCATCGGGTTCCTGACTTTGAGGGTCAGACCTCATTTATATTTAGCTCTCTTGTTTACAAGATAGAAAATGTTCTTTCAGTTTTATCATTGTAGTCCACTTAGGTCAAGCTTTTAACAGGAGCAAAGGCAACTTATTAATATTTATAAGTTGTAAAATTTATTGACTTTTAAAAAATAAAATCTCAGTAAAATCTCACTTGCCTGGAACTTGATATTTAGTGGTGACATTCTCTCTTCTTTGTGTTTATTATGAGTATAGAAGTAGTTTTACTTCCTGCTGGGAGGTATTGATGGTAAATAATGAAGTTAGCAGTCGTAGAGAGCAAGTGTGCAGGGGTACACTCATCCTTGGCTGATAGGAGCCCTTTAAATGGAGCAGTGCTTTCTTCTCTTTCCTCCCATCTGTTAAAATACAAATGAAATGACAGCCATTGTACCCTCTTAGCACTGAGCTGACTTAGCCTCACCTTTAAAATCCAGTGGGGGTGGAGAATGTCATAGGCTTAGATTTTTTTTCCTCACTTCTCTATTTCCCACCTCCTCATCCCTAATTCACTTCATTAATGAGAGATCTCTTTTCTTCTTTTCTTAGCTCTTCCACCTAAGACTTTGGGATATAATTACACGACCTCAGTCTTTGACAGGAAAGACCTTTTGGTGTTAAAGGGGAAAGTCATCAAACATCTCAATGTCTTCATGCTTTTGTTTTGTCATTACTGATCATTGTTGTGTTCAGCATTATGGGTTTGATTTTCCTTTTTTTTTTTATCCAGATCCCCCCACAACTATCCCTCCTCCCACAACAACCACCACCACCACCACCACCACCACCACCACCACCACCACCATGCTTACCATCATCACAGGTATGGTACCTTCATTA